CGAGTCGATGATAATTTGCATTCTCCATTCACTCCTCCCTCACTTGCATTTATTGGTACAAGATATCTTGCCATCGCCACTCTTAATTTATTCCTGTCATGAAATTCAAAATTGTCTGGTATAATAAAGTCAATTTCATTAACAGGAATTGAAGAGTAAGAGTCAGGAGAATAGTGATGAAGGAGTGGAGGGGATTTCACCGCATTTGGAGATTGTTCACTGGATTCATTCACTTGAATGAGTTGCGGTTGGGGTTCCATTTCTTCCTTTTTGGCTTCTTTTTCAACTGCATCTGTAGATTTCTCATTTTGACACTCTTGCAACTCCTCATCACCAGTCAAGCAAATTGCACTCTCATTTTCTTCTAGATCAACAATGGTTTTCGAGGGCAATTCTTCTATTGGAGAAGCCAATCGATTCATTCTGGATGTCAATAGACATAGTTGATCTGCCAGGTCGCGAAGGCTCGCTTGTGCCTCCTGATGAAATCAATTTGTATTAGCAATTAGTAATTTCATCATTTCTTCAAGAGACATACCTGACACGGAGGATGATTGCTGAGACTCTTGCTGTTGAAAATTCATTGGCCCCGTCGCATAATCAAAATTGGAATTATCCCACCATTCTTGATCATACCCGTTTGAATAAGGGTCATACTGCGTTTGATATTGGGGTGGAAAATCTCCAAAAGTATCAAGTGGAGAACTTAGATTATCTTGAAATACGGGGCATGTGTCAGTTGAATAACTTGAGTCAAAATAAGTTCCACAATTTGCAACAGCCCATTGATCATTAGGAAAAACATGAGTCTCATAACCCCATTCAGGAACAAAGTCCAGTCTATCATCAAAATATGGAATGTTAGCAGCCATAAAAAAAATAAAAAAAAATAAGAGAAAAATAAATTTAAAAAAAATGAAAACAAAATAAACTCAAAAAGAAAAAAATTAATCTGGCACCAGTCCCCGGCAACGGCGCCAAAAATTGACAGGGTGTCAGCCTGTGCAATAATAAAACCTGCTCAAACTAAAAGTAATTTCTGTAGATAGCGGTAAGTAGGGTCGAATCCACAGGGATTGGGAGTAATTGTTTCTTTTCAAATTCACAGTGACAAAGGGGGGGGTTTTTGTGTAGAAGGTGACAATAAAAGAAGTTCAAATAAAATCTAAGAAACGACTAAAAATTAAATAACAAATTACTAAAATCAAATTAATGATAATTAAGGATCTAGCCAAGGAATAACTTCAGCAATGGTTCACCTAATTGATCATCGATAAGCAAAGGCAATTCCAATTATTTACTAATAAATAGGTTATAACTGCCAAATAAGCGATGACAGTCAACCCCTCCTTACTGTGTCGATGATTAAGGTACGCCCGTTAATCACTGCTCTAATTGAGAAATAATCCTAGGTACGCCCATAAAATTTAATTTCTCAATTGCCTTACGTATTAGAGGAGCCCTATTCTAACCAAATAACGCACTACCAGGGTTATTTTAGATTAGGCCGCGTATTCCCCTGACACAAACCCAATCATGCCAGTTATCACTATTTTGAGACAATTAAACAATTACGGATTTAACACCTCAATTGACAATAGATTATTAAATTAACTAATTATCCGGATCCAAGACAATCAATTAATTAAACAACCATAAGCACTGCAATCAGGGAATATGCAAATACCAATAAATAAGAGAAAAAGATAAAATTAAATCGATCTCACAAGTTTTAGGCAATCCAAAGCATCCATTGTCCCTTGACTAGAGTGAAGAAATTTAGCTCATGTTTGATGAACAAAATCCGCGAGAAATTGGAGCGACACTAGCGGCCATTGGCCTCGTTCGTGAGAAATCAATTTATTCGATTGAATAAGGAGAAACCAGCAACCACAAACAATGATTCAATTCCTCGTAAGGCTCCTGACATGCACAGGAGAACTCCACTATCAAAAGCTAAAGAGGAAAAGCTCCTACCAGAAGACGAAAAGATGGAAAAGTCAAACAAAGCTAGGCTAAACTAAACAATGGAGAAACTAAGAGGGAAGCCAGCTCCCTGCTGTGCGGCGGCTCCCCCAGGGGGAAGAAGACTTTTCCTGCGTTCCTTTTTTCTTTTTTATATACTGTCTTCCGTGAATTACCAAATAGGACTTGTATCTCCTTGTTCCAAAAATACCCTGGATGCCTACTACTTGGACTCTTTCCTGATAACTGTCAAATCGGCACTTATTATGGTATTTTCGTTCTACTCCCTGAAATATATGTAAAATACTAAAAGTGAGTAGAATCTAACAATTAATCCAGATTGGGTCAGGTAATAGGAGAAATTAATAATAAAATAAATGATAAAATCGTAACCTATCAGACTCGTCCTAGTGTAGCCAGGATATGTGTAGAGATAGATGTAGCAAAAATTGTTGTGCCAAGGGTGTGGGTTGCTGTTGAAGGTGAATCAGGTTTCTGGCAACGTATTGTCACCATGGTTCGAAGTCTCGGCCGAGACTGAGACGGCTCGGCCGAGTCGTCACCGTCTCGGCCCCTACCGATACGATACCGTGACGAAACGATACCGAAATACTTGACTCGCCGAGAAATCGGCCGAGTCGTCACCGCGACGGATTGACTCAGCCGAGTCACACCGAGTCACTCCGAGTTATCCCGAGTCACGACGAGAAATCAACCGAGTCACACCGCGACGGATTGACTTGGCCGTTTCTTTTGCTATTTTTTAATTATTTTTATTTAGCATAATTTTTTATATTATTAACAATTTTTAGAATATTAAATACTTTAAAATTTGCGTCTCACCGAGACCGTGACCGATATGCCGAGACCGATGTGGAACGTTCCGGGCCGCGACCGCGACCGCGACCGTGACTTGGAACCATGATTGTCACAGAGAATATTCCTCCATATTGTTCTTTTTGCTCAAGGCTAGGACATCATCATGAGGAGTGCAAGAAGAAGTTAAATAAGGATGAATCTCGGCTCAAATTTAAACAAACCATGAATACGCAGCAAGATCTACACTTACATGGAAATCAAATGGTTAATCATCAACCTGAGACTAATCCAGCTGCTATGGCAAACGATATGGTGGCGGAAGTGGTTGCTGATATTGCGAAAGATACAGCTGCGAATGCGACTGCTGCTACTGGGAGCGAAAATGCAGTACATATTTCTGATTCTCATGAAGTACGAACTACTGCTACGGTTCAAAAAAGGAAAAATATTTTAGCAGCAAAAGCCACTATTGCTGGGTCTGCCGTGCAAGTGGAGAAAGGGGAAGTAAATGTTCTGCAACATTGTGCTATTCATGATGATCATGCGGTTGAAGCAACCCATAACCAAACCGCTGATGCTAACGAAAAAACAGAAACAAGTAACATGATGAGTTTGACATTGCATAGGGGACAAAGAGAAATGGACTATCAACTGGACAATCAACATGGTCTTCAAATTGAAGGGTCCCAATCCTACATTGCGAAGCCTTTTAACACCGAACCAGCGCATGTGGACAGTCATCAAAATGAAGGGTCCCATTTCCCCATTGAAAAGCCTCTTAACACCGAACCAGAGCATTTGACCGACAATGGTTTAAACTGTAAAGATAATCTGACCCACAACAATGTGAGGGGTGAACATCAATTGCTAGCCGACAATGTCAATGCTGATCATGAGCTGATGGCCGACAATACTGTTTTGGAGAATCTCTATGTTGAATTGCGAGGGGGAAAGGAATCTACACAACAAGAGGTTTTGGAGCAGTCTGCTGGTGACGTGGAGAAACAGGAGAACCGTGTTGAGGAGGGACTATTGGATGGCGGGTTTGCATCCCTTTCAGAGGGCGAGGCTGACGATGACGATAGATTTTATGGTGGGATGACACAGGAGCGCATGGGCTCCTCTGGGGTTGTAGATATTTTTAACCTTGACCCAATTATTCAACAGGTTAGTGACAAGCTCTAGCATGGGGAAGAGTTCCAGTTGGTTAAGTATGGCAAGAAGAGAGGAAAGCTACCTCAAATTCCGTCGGATCGGTCGCTGCGATCGAAAGCAAAGGCAACCTCGAACTCTTTCTCTGCTGTAACTCAATGATTAAGTTCCTTTTCTGGAATATCAGGGGTGTGTCCCGTGCCCCAAATTTTCGTAGATTGAGATTTTTAGTTAATCATCATGTGATTCAATTGGTTGCTATCTGTGAACCGAAAGTCCAAGCAGTGGATATTCATTCGATTAGGATGCGTCTTCACATGGATCAAGCCATCTGTAATAGTAGGGGGGATATTTGGGTTCTTTATAAATCCTCTATCTTGTGTAGCATGGTTGGAGAATCGAGTCAACACATGTCACTACAACTTAGCTCTTTGTTATTTGAGAGACCTATCACCTTCTCAATTACTCATGCAAAGTGCACAGACACTGAACGGCTAGAATTGTGGTCTAGTCTCCTAGTGGACAACCCGGATCAATCCCCTTGGTTGATTGTGGGGGATTTCAACATCATCGTGTCGGCGGAGGAGAAAAGGGGAGGGTTGCCTTTTAGACCAGTAGAGGGTGGGGATTTTTTAGATTTTATGTCTCAGGCAGGGGTTTTTGATGTGGGGTACTCGGGCTCTTGCTTCACATGGTGCAATAACAGGCATGGACGGGCGCGTATCTGGAAGCGGTTAGATAGGTTGCTAATGAATCAAGTTGCTTCTAGTTTCGCTCTGGATTTTAACGTTCGCCATTTGTCGAGGGATCCTTCAGATCATGCGCCATTATTATTATCGGCTACGACAAAGCTAGACAACAAGCCGAGGCCATTCCGATTCTTAAATTTTTGGGCATCTAAGCCTAGGTTTTTGGATGTGGTTCGATGCAACTGGAACGTGGCTTTCTCGGGGCCTCCATTAATGGTCCTCGCTGCTAAGCTTCGAAGTGTCAAGACGGTGTTACGTGCCTAGTCTCGGGAGGTTTTCGGAGATATCTTTGGCTCGGTACGGGTGGCAGAGGACATGGCCCTCAATGCTGAGTTGAGCTATGACACTGATCCATCGAAAGACAAGCTTGTAGCATTACAGGAGGCTCGGGCTCATCTTCGGAGGTCGCAGGGGGTGGAGCATATGTTTTGGCAACAAAAATCAAGGGTCAAATGGTTGAAGGATGGAGATCGAAATTCGAGATATTTCCATGCAGTGATGGCAGAGCGCCACCAACGGTCGGTAATCCATCGGATTAAATCATCCGCTGGGGATTGGCTGGAGTCTGCGGATGACATTGAGAGCGAAGCCGAATCCTTTTTTAAACGGTTATTTACGGTAGAGTCCCATAGTGCATCCTTTAATGCTCTTGACGTTTACCGAAATTGCTGACGGACCAGGATAATGAGATGCTAGACGAGATCCCATATAAGGAAGAAGTTAAGTCGGTGATTTTTGCTATGGATGGTGGGAGTGCGGCTGGGCCGGATGGGTTCTCGGGTAAGTTTTTTGCGTGTGCATGGGACATTGTGGCAGAGGATGTCCACGCGGCTGTGGTAAGTTTCTTCTGTGGAGAGGTGCTGCCTAGGAGTATATCTTCCACTTCAATAGTGCTGATTCCGAAGGTCCAGTCTCCTCAGGATTTTACCCAATTCCGTCCGATTAGCTTGTGTAACTTTATCAATAAGGTGATATCCAAGGTCTTGTCGGACAGATTAGCAAGGATCTTGCCGAAGATTATTTCTCCTCAGCAGAGTGGCTTTGTGAAAGGAAGGCATATCTCTGATAATTTTCTGTTGGCTCAGGAGCTTATATCTGGAATTCGTCGCTCTAATAAGGGAGGGAATGTGGTGTTAAAGTTGGACATGGCCAAGGCTTACGACCGCGTTTCATGGGTTTTCTTGTTACAAGTACTGCGTCGATTTGGTTTCACGGAGAGGTGGATTGATATGATTTGGCGGTTAATCTCCAATGTTTGGTTTTCGGTTCTGGTCAACGGCTCTCCTTGTGGCTTTTCCAATCAACTCGGGGGCTCCGACAAGGTGACCCCATTTCACCGGCTCTTTTTGTTATTGGGGCAGATTTCATGTCTAGGTTGCTGAACTCTTTGGTTGGCCAACGTGGATTCCTGCCGTTTAAGGTTCCTTCCAGATGTCCTGCCATTACACATCTAGCTTTTGCAGATGACGTAATTATTTTTTGTAGCAGGATTAAGAGTATTTTGCGGCATGTTATGAGGGTATTGGGGAAGTATTGTAGTATGTCTGGGCAGCAGGTAAATTGTCAGAAGAGTTGCTTTGTTACTCATGATAAGTTGAGCCCTGCTCGTCGACGTGTGGTGTCACAAGTTTCTGGTTTTCAGGCCAAGTCCCTCCCACTTAAGTATCTTGGATGTACTCTCTATTTCGGAAGACGGAGATGTAGCTACTTCTTTGACATCTGCTCCTCAGTTGCAAAGCGGGTTCTATCGTGGAAGGAAAAGTTATTGTCGCCTGGTGGGCGTTTGGTTTTAATCAGGAGTGTTTTGTCGTCGTTGCCTCTACACATCCTTGCTGTCACGGTTCCTCCAAAGGGTGTGCTTCATACCCTTGAGAAGGTTTTTGCAAATTTCCTTTGGGGAAGGTCTGAGGGGGGTAATCGCTACCATTGGATTAGATGGGAGACTATGTGCAAACCGCTTGATGAAGGGGGGGGTCGGCGTGCGGTCCCTGGCGGATGTGTTGGAGACATTTTCAGTGAAGCTATGGTGGTCCCTCAGGCAATGTTTATCCCTCTGGGCAGAATTTATGCACGCTAAATACCTCCATGGCGGTCATGCGTGTGAAGCGGAACTTCAGCGCTTTCAATCTCCCACCTGGAGGAGGCTGGTCAGGTGCCAGGCTCTGGCAGATTCCCATATCCAGTGGGTGTTGCAGAATGGAATGGTGGACTTTTGACATGAGAATTGGATGGGTGCAGGGTCGTTGTGTCAACAGGTTGAGAATTTTGGTGATCACGCCGTAGCGGACTTCGTGTTGAATGGGAGCTGGAACATTTCGATGCTTCATCAATGGCTACCTGATAGTATTGTTTCTAGGATTATGCAAATACGCCCTCCTGATATTTTTTCTACACGCCCAGATAGGATGGTGTGGGACTTGGAGACAACTGGTTCCTTCTCCTTCTCATCTACATATAATTTGGTCCGACAGGATTCCAACATTTCCATCTTCTCCTCTAATATTTGGTTGTCAGCTTTGCCTGTAAAAATCTCTTTTTTTATGATTAGAATGTTATCGGGCCGCCTGCCTGTGATGGAATCGCTGCAGAGGCGGGGTGTCTGCGGTCCATCTCGTTGTTCTTGCTGTGTCAACCCAGCGGTGGAGTCAGTTGATCATGTCTTTTGTGCTGGAGATGTCCCACGGTGGGTATGGAATTCTTTTCAGGTCGAGGCAGGAGACTTTGTACATGTCTCAACGGTAAAACATGCAGTCATTCAATGGTGGATGCGCCCGGCTAAGAACAAGTTGATGAAATTGTTGTATCAGATATTGCCTTCGCTTATTTGTTGGCATCTTTGGAAGGCTAGGAACGTGGCGGTGTGGGAAGGAAAGGTGTTGTCAGCGATACAGGTACATGGCTTCATTCTTTAGGATCTCTGTGATATTCTTCAGGTGCACTTTAAGGATATGGGGGTGGGACGTTATTCGTGGCATCGACTACACATTTCGCTGATGGGGTGGAAGAAGGAAATGAGGGTCACATTAGTCAGGTGCCTGCCTCCGGCTTCTACCCTCCTAAAACTGAACACCGATGGGTGCTCCTTGGGGAATCCGGGGAGGAGTGGAGGTGGTGGGATTTTGTGAGATAGCGCAGGAATTTTCAGGCTTGGTTTTACGGGTTATTGGGGAGAGACGACGAGCCTACATTCGGAATTGAAGGCCTTGTTATTTGGGATTAAGCTGTGTGTCACGCGAGGCTTTTGTTGCTTGCACCTGGAGTCTGATTCCATGCTTTTAGTCCAAATGGTCACAGGGGTTGGTAGATGCCCATGGGCCTTGCAGCGAGAGCTGGACGAGTTGCTTGCCTTTCGGAATGCTTTTCATGCTGTCTCCCATTGTTATCGCCAAGCGAATGTGCCAGCAGATCGGCTTTCTAAGATTGGGACAGATACCGGCTCTACTGTTATCTACAACTCGTTTGTGCAATTGCCGCGTTTGGTTCGAGGAGACCTTAGGTTGGATAGGCTTGGCTATCCTAACTTCCGTGCTTCTTGAGCGCCGGCGTGCTTGTGTTTAGTGATGTTTCCGTGTACTGGTTCAGGAAAAAGGGGGGAAAGGTGAGTTCTCTTCAACACAGAAAAATGGACTTTGAAGAGTTCTGTGCAGCTGCAATAAATGTGCACCATCTTGAAGGCATGGAAAGCTGGGAGCAACTTTTTGGGAACTCATAAAAAGGACTGGATACGGCATTCTGATGGAAAACTCAGTTTCTTGGGATTTGTGAGGCTTTTGCATGGAGTTCCCCATGAACATTTCAGAAGGCTTGAAACCACCAACTACTCAGATTGATCCCTCAATGCTTCTCTTAATCAACAGATTAGCAGCGTCTCAAAGGATTACAGATTTGACTGTTAATATAGCACGTAAAAGGCAAGAAGTATCTGTTAATTGCAGTCGCAGGGGCGCTTTGAGTGCTGTAGCTGAAATTTGTCAGTTCAAAGCCATTTCAGCTTATTCTCGCAGTAGTATGCTCCTGCTCATTGTTTTCCTTGTATCTCTCCCTCCAGCGTTAAAATTTTAGAGGATCTTACAATTGATGATAGATATTAAAATTGTATTTAGGACTAGAAAATAGCTTAAAGCTGCAATAAGTTTTGCGGCTTTAGGTGTGTCCCTTGTGGAGTAAATTCTTAAATTGTGATGAAAAAAAAAAGATTTGCTTTATTTTGAGATACTTTTTAACTTAAGGAAACTAGAGTTAATTTATTTTAGGACACTCTTTTTAAGGAGAAATTAAAAGAAATTAATAATCTAACTAATGATAAATATGTTTTTTTTTTTGGAGGGGGATTGATAAATTTTTAATCTGAAACAAAACTCTATATTTGTTGTTTTGGGGGAGGGGGGGACTGCCCCCACAATAGATCTTTTGTTTCATTCTCTGTATTATTTTCTATCCCACTTTTTATTATATCATTATTTTTTCTTTATAAACATCATATTTTATTTTCTTTATTTATTTAAGATCTAATAACTATTAACTAAGTAAAAAATAAATACAAAATCTCAAAAAATAATATATAATAGAAAATTAGAAAATAAAGCAAAAAAATTATTAAAAAAATCTCATTTTTCATGCATTTTGATTTTTTGAGTTTGTTAAATTTTGTATATTTGACAGGTGCCGAACCTGTGCAATAATAAATAAAACCTAACTACCACCTGAAGCAGTCAATAATCAATTTTAGTACTAGAGCAGGGACTCTAGGTGTGCAATGGGTTACTTGATTCACCCTGTTCCCGAAGAGTTTGCTTAATCCGATATACTTGAATTAATTATTTAACTGAATTCACTAGCTAGTAGACAGTGGTAAGCATGGTCATCTCCTCAGGGACTAGCGAGAAATTTGTTTCTTTTCAAGTAAAGATTAAAGGGGGGTTTTTGGGATTCAATGCCAACTAAACAAATCAAATGCAGAAAATAATTAATTAAAAGAAATAATTAGAGAAACTCTAGATAAGAATACACTTCAGAAATGGTTCATGCAACTGATCATCGATTCAAATATAATTCCAACATTTATTAATAGATTAGTTATAGTTGTCATGCACGCGATAAATAACCAACCTTTCCTTAATTTCTCGATAGTTAAGGTACGACCGTTAGCTATTTCTCTAACCCAAAAACAACCCTAGGTACGACCATAGGATTTAATTTCTAGATTGCATTAATAATTAGAAAGGCCCAATCCTAACAAACAAACACGCTACGAGGGTTTGTTTAAACTAGATCATATGTTCCCCTGACATAAATCCAATTACGCCAGTTGCTGCGGAGATAGAGATAACGAGCAATTACGGATTCAATTACTCCTATTTAGCAAAATAGCCTATATGAATAATTAATTATTGCGCACTAACCAATCATACACAAGGCTATAGCAATTAAAAGCAGGGAACATATAAATATCAATAAATGAAGGAAGTAATTAAAAATGATTTAGATCTCATAGTAATTATTAAACCAATTCGTCAATTGTCCCTTGACTAGAATTAGGGATTTAGTTCTCCATAATTAGAGTACAGGCCATGCGGCAAAGCTGGAAGAAGCCGTCGATTCCTTAATCAAAGCAAACGGAAGAAATTGGCCCTCGTTCGCTTCGGTCAACCGAAGAAAGAAAAGAAAACAATTGATTGTGGTTGCTTTCAATTGACTTCCAAAGCTAATCGTACAGAGAGCATGCACTTTCAATTTCCTTCGGTCAAAGCAAGAATGAAAAGCATTTCCAAAGGTCCACAATTGCGGCTCCTCTTTGCTTTCTTTCTTTCCTCACAAAACACAACAGACGAGAGATTATTTTGCTTGGTTTCTTCAAATCAATTCACACAAGATAGAAAAGCCAAAGTACAAAGTCAACAATTGCGGCCTTCTTGTCTCTTCCCCCTTACAAAGCCACGGCCAGCCCCCTTCAAAAACAAAAAGAACGAAAAAGAAGAAGAACCTAAGCCAGCGAAAGGTTTATTTTTCTTCCCCTTTGCCAAGCCGCCCTCCTAGAGTCTAATACTCCCTACTTTCTGTTTTTGGTCCGGAATTTAAGGAGGGGATTTCCCCTTATCGGAAATTGGTACTTGAAAATTAAAACAAGACTCTCTAAAAATAAAATAAAATAATATCTATTATAATTTAGTTTCTTCAGCTTCTCCAGCGGACCCACTATTTGAAGTGGCTCACGTGCGACGAATCTTCTAAATTTCAATTTCAAGCCCTTTTTAGTACCAATTCCTGCAGTTAGCACCAAAACAAAATATCAGTAGTAGAATCCACCCCATTAATGAAAATATTTAGTCAAATAATTGTACAATAATGCCCAAAATACCCCACTAAAATGCACCCTATCAGTATTACTCAGTTAATAGTTATTGGATCCTAAGGAAATTAAAAAAAAAACTAAAATATGATATTTATGAAGGAAAAATAACAATATATTAAAAAGTGAGACGGAGAGTAGCATAAGATGTGAAACAGAAAATCCATTGCAAGCTGCCCTGCCGGCCCTCTCTTATGTCTGTCATTGTGTGGCTAGAAACAAGTACCTGTTGCTGAATTACTCTCTCCCTTCTAAGAATTTCAAAGTTTTTTTTTCTTGTCAATCGATGACTTCTACACTTATTCTACTCCTACTCCTACTTCTCTACTCCTTTTCTAACCTATCTAAGGGTTGGTCTAACAGGACCAAAAATCCTATTCCTAGTTCTATTTTCACTCCCATTCTAACCTATTTAAGGAAGTGTCTAGCTGGATCAGGGGGCCTAGAGAGAGTAGTCCCCACCTCTAGACCAACGTTTGGATTTGGAGGAAACCACATACTAGTCACAATTGCTAGAAAATAAGATTTGAATTCTTGATCTTTTACTCGAAGGCCTTTATGGTGGCCAACATCCCAATAGGACATTGGTTACATGACATCATACTTCTAGTACATGAGAATACATTAAAAATCAATCGCTTTCACAGTTCCACTTCAGACAATTAAGAATTACTATCCATTAGATAAAACTCGTTTTAACCTTCAAATATCTTATTGCAAGTAAGCCT